TAAAAAGATATAAAAACATGATAATACTAATAGAGTTTTATATTATTGCTCGCAGAACAACCTCAGAGTGCTCTGTTTCAGATTCGCGTGTTCCTTTTGGCGCTCGCTCTCAGAGTGCGCGTGCCATTTTTGCTCGAAATCTGTGACGGAACGCTCCCAGGGCGCTCTCTATTGATCTGAAAAATTTATCGGAGCAAGGGAAAGGTAAACAAATCGGCTATATTTAATTTGAAGGTCTGAGTTGAGTAAACATCACAGGCGATTTGTTTTTTTCGTTTTGTGTTAGTTTTTTACTTTTAATTGGATATGAATAGAAAACGTCTGTTGTGTGAATCAGTATATACGTTTAAAATTGTTATGTCGCTACTTTGACTCATTTTATCTTTTCTATTTCAATTGATGACAAGTACTACAACACAACGCACAACGAAATCTTCTCTAGCTGAAGGAAATTTCGAGGTTATCTTCCCACTACTTTTCCAATGTGTGTTTCATTTTGCTCTGAAAAGGATTGCTCCTGCTCGGATTCGGAGTGCTCCGTAACAGAACTTATAACGTCACAGATTGCACTCGGAGCACTCTGAGAGCAACATAATAGAAAACACTATAAACAGAATTCATTTGCTACAGATAACAAATTATTTAGGGTAGTGGTTTATATTTTACATTGCGTAAATATTACAATATAATTATTTGCCATGACATAGATTTGAGAATTATATTCCTAACTCAGTAGATATTTTGAGTCGATATTGACATAAAAGAGTTTAAATAGAAAAAGACAATAAATTATACCTACCTGTCCTTCTAGTCTGTAAAGACTGCATTATAAATCGAGCTAAGAGCAGCCTCTATTTGGATAATAAACCTCAATTGAATATTTCTTACATCATCAATTAGAAAATACATAGGATTTCTGCATTTAATACATTAATCATGAAGTAATATACCCTTATTAAATTCCATAATTTTTTATTTGAACAAAAATCGTAATTATATAAATTTTAAAATATACCCATTTTATAATACTTTTTGATAGGTATAAGTACGTACATTTTATAAGAACAAAGGTATAACATAAAAATATTTTTATAATTAAACTTAATGACAAAGTGTAACCTACCTGTAGGGGTATAATTTGATATATATATCTACATATCTATGGTATTATGGGTAAGTATTCTAAATATTTCATGAACAATATTAATGTTATTCAGGTTCAACCTTTGCGACATACAACACCCCTTTAATATTATTTTTCGTTTATAGGTGTGATACGTTTTAAACTGGTTTAAATTTTTTCATTTTGGCAGTGACAGGTTGCCATATCTTCTGTCACCCTTAATTGGTGTCTCCTTCTCGGCAACAATTTACTTACTTTAGGAAAACAGAGATGCACACTTTCTGGAATATTCCAGAAACAGTTACATATCTTATTCTGGTGTTGGTATTATGCGGCAAAAGAGAAGGACAGACAATTTCAGCCACAATTATTTCGTGATTATTTCTACAGAGTTCGGTGTGCCGGTACACTGTTCGTGAATAGCGAAATATATTTTTAAAAGTAATAAATTTTGTGGTTAGAAGCCGAAAACGTGTTCTGCAGTCTTAGTGCTTGTATCCCTAATAAAATCAGGAGATGGCCGCTATGTCTGTGATAGGAATTGACCTGGGAAACGAGTCCTGCTATGTAGCCGTTGCGAAGGCAGGAGGAATTGAAACTATTGCAAACGATTATAGTTTAAGAGCTACACCGTAAGTTAATTCTTGTGAACATAATTTAAAAATATTTACAAAATACTTTTGTAATTTTTGACGTCTTTAAACAACCTTGATTGTCTTTAAATGCTTTTCATATTTGTCCCAAATTAGGAGGCAAATAAGAGCAGTTACTCATATCTAGTGGGCGATTATATTTTGATTTATATAATATTATTTGTAGATCATGTATTGCTTTTTCTGGAAAGAATCGTATTCTTGGAGTAGCTGCAAAAAATCAGCAAGTTACCAACATGAAAAATACTGTTTATGGTTTAAAAAGATTGTTAGGTAGAAAATTTAGAGATCCACATGTACAAAGAGAAATAAAAATGTTACCATATTCAGTAGTGGAAGAAAAAAATGGAAGTATAGGTATCAAGGTGAGTGAAAAATATTTTATGTGGGGACCTACGTAAACTTAAAAAAAAACTTCTCGTAAAATTGTGGATCTAAGTCGAACAACTATATTTTTTTGTTACTACATAAGTGAAATTTTTAAACACATTTGTACTCGACTGATATGTTAAAAGTTACTATAATACCGTTTTTTATATATAGGTTCGACTATCAAGATGTATTATAAATATTAGTAATACCTAGTAATTGTATCGTATCAATCAATATCTATATCTGTATCTTAGTATAGTTATTTTCGATACAATTTCTCAGATAGGTCTCTTATAACATTTTAAAATTATTACTATTTATTATACAGATTGTCCCAAAAAAAGAGAAACTGACTAAACTGAAGTACATTTTTTAAATAGAATACTAGATTTGAATAGAGTTTTCCTTCATAAATGATTTAATAGTATGGTTTAATGTAGAGTAGAAGAAATGGTAAAAAAAGCTGGGTCAAATTTATTAAATGTAAATATACCAAATATTGTGAAATGTAGTTGTAAGCGAACTAGTAAGGGAAGTATTCTATAAAAGAATAAGTATGAATACTCTTTCTTTGGAACATTTTACATAGTAATAATTTGGAAATGTGTGCTGCTTTTAGATTAAGATATCCTCATGGGCAGCAATAAGTAAAATGTAACTGCTATAATATGTTTACAGATATTTATCATCGGGAAGTAGGTAGTACCTTTATTTGATATTCACTATTCATCAAGTTTGGATTGACAAATATAATATATAATGTAATATGGAGTTCAAAATTAATACACTAAAATACAAACATTTATTAGCAATATTCAAGGTGGGATTGAAAGAACTCCTTTTTATTGCAGAATATTTTTCTTTGATTTTAATGTTTTTTATGCACTGTTTTAATGTTTGTTATTCCTAAGAACTCCAGTGTGACCCCATTATTCAGAATTACAAACTTCTGTTTTTTTTGATCTGTGCCATGGCTTAAGAATATTTTTATTACCATGTTTGTTTCATTGTGGTATACCGGGTGTTTCATGAAGTTCTCCCGGCACTCATAGAGGATGTTCCTTGGGTTATTTCTAGGAAAAAAGTTCATATAAACATGTGTCCGATTTTCTTTACTTATTGAGCTACACGAATTTGAAAATAAAAATAATGGAAATTAATTTTCATTTTTATTTTTAGAACATCGGTAATAGTGATACATACATTCTTAATTTAAGGTTTTCGAAAATTCCACCTCCTACTTCAATACATTTGTCAGCACGCCTGTGAATTGCTCGCGTTGCATTTCTAATATTCGCGTGCTTTTCTTTTATTTGCGTTGCAGCATTAACAATTCTTTGGATTAGAGCTTCGCGTGTTTCCACTTTCTCTTGATAAACCAAATTCTTCATCCAACCCCACATGTTGTAATCTAACGGATTGAGGTCTGGAGACCTAGCTGGCCAAATGTGTGGCCCACCTCGACCGATCCAGCGACCAGAGTAATGCTCATTTATGAGCAGTGACAATTCGGGAAATATGAGGTGGAGCTCCATCATGTTGCAAGCACATTCTTAATCGTCTTGCCAGAGGTACATCTTCAAGCAATCGCGGGAGTTCTTCCTCTAAAAATTGTAGAAACTTTGGTCCATTAAGACGACCTTTAATAGTAAATATAACATTTCACACCACACATTAACACTAAATCTACGTTGAAAATTACTTTCTACGGTGGCATGAGGGTTGACGTCCGATCATTGATGCATGTTATGGGTGTTGTTGATACCGTCTCTGGTAAATTGTGACTCATCCGTAAATAAGATGTAGCGATACAAATTCCTATTATTATTCAACCACTGACAAAATTCTACCCGCCTAGGGAAATCTTCTGGCTCCAGATGTTGAACACGCTGTAGATGGTATGGATACAACAGATTCTTGTTTAATGTTCTCCATACCCTGGTATTGGGAATCACTAAAGGCGTGGATATCCGTCGTGTACTAACACCGGGATTACGCTCGGCCATAGCAAGGATATTCTCTTCTTCTACAACACTCTGCTGACTTACCCGTTCGTAGTGAATGCGAACACTTGGAAGTGAACCAGTTTCTCTGAGTGCATGAAAAGTTGTGGTAAACGTTTTCGGGGATGGAATGCGACGATTTGGGAAACGCCGTTGATATTCCAGTGAAGCTAGAGTAGCATTTCCATCGCAATTACCCAAAACAAACACCATATCGGCATACTCAGCAGTCGTAAACTTAAAAGGCATTGTTCGCGAATTTGCAAAATTGAATCTTCACACTAAACTGCAAGCTTGTCAAAACTGACAGTAACCTAGATAACATTTTACCTTGCAAATGTCGTCAGAGCACACTTGACCAATGCGTAGCGCGCCGAGACGTAACGCAACAAATTTGATTATTACTTTTTACATTTAAATTTCAAATTCATGTAGCTCACAAAGTAAAGCAAATCGGACACATGTTTATATATACTTTTTTTCTAGAAATAACCCAAGGAACATCCTCTATTAGTGCCGGGAGAACTTCATGAAACACCCGGTATAATAGCTATATTTATTTTTCCAAATATGGACCTAACATTTGATAAGGATTTTTTATTTTGATTCTGTGTATTGTATTTGATTGTATTTAAACCAACAATGGAAATTAAATGGGTTTGGTAGATTCCTTATGTTGGGTGTTGATGATGATGATGTTCATGGTAGTGATGATTACATTTTGCTAATCGACAATAATCATTTTATTTCTCTATTCCAATATATTTCTATTTTAAAGAACCTGTCTCTAATTCAGAACACTCATTATTGTAATTCGCATTATTAATTTTGTATATAAATGGTATTTAAAATTCTTTTCTCATAGTTACTTACACCTTGATAATGCTTATATTTTTTAAAGTATACAGATATGTAATTTTTATTTTTATCATTGTTGTTGTGGTTATTGTGGTTTGTTTGAGGCTTATTTTTATTCCATTTTGACATATTCTTTTACATTGATTATATTTTTATGTACAAGGTGTCCTGAAATTCATGCAACAAAATTTGGTCACAGATTCTTGAGACAAATTTAGGTGACCTGTATTTCTTATTTTTGCCAATTGGCCCCCTCTTTTGGAGTTACAGCCCCCTGAAGTTTGCCTTTAAGAATAATCATTTTTTTATATCTCAGAACCCTGTTGTATGAGAATCACTAAATTTGGTACCTCCTTAAGACAATTTTTGGTGGGCCCTCTTGTCTTTGGAGCCAAAAAAATTTGGTTGCATATTTAAATTTTTTAAAAATTATCAGTCCCCTAGAAAGCCATTAAATTTAGAAACTTTTTGTCTCTTCATGCTTTTTTCGTAAAAGGCAATGTTTTCGGGAAAAATGTCAGAATGTGATCAAATGCATATCGTGATACACCATTTTCCTCAAAAACATTGCGTTTTACGAAACAAATATCAAGACACAAAAAAGTTTCTAAATTCAATGGCTTTCTAGCTAACTAATAATTAAAAAAAAAATTAAATTTGCGACCAAATTTTTCTGGTTCCAAAGACAAGGGGGCCCACGAAAAAGTGTCTCAAGGGGGTTTCTCGCCAAAAAACATAGCACTGAGATTCCACATGTCATAAAACCTCTGTGTACCAAATTTAGTGATTCTCATACAACAAGGTTTTGATATATAAAAAAGACTTCTTAGGGGCAGATTTCAGGGGGCTGTAACTCCAAATGAGGGGGCCAGTTGGCAAAAAGAAAAAATACGGGTCCCCTAAATTTGTCTTAAGAATCTATGACCAAATTTTGTTGCATGAATTTCGGGACACCCTGTATAAGGAGCAGAAGCAAATTTTAATAAAACATACACATGGGTGTAATTAATTCGGAAATTAGGAAGGTTGGACAAATGTAAAATATCATATATATAATTTCCTTTTAGGTAGTAAAAAAAGATACTATTTAGAATCATTTATGGTGTCAGTGCAGGTATCATGGTATAGAGATTTTTTTCTATATTTACTGCTGTGCCTGTATTTAACTATTACCGCACTTTTGGGGGGGGGGGGGGAGTTGACTGTCCTCCATTTCCTCTCCAAAGGGCACCCAATTGTTAGAGAATTAAGAAATAAGATATTTTTATGTTTCTTGAAAATGATGAGAAAATTTTAATTATTCTCGCAGATTCCCAATATATTCTTCAATTATCTTGAGAATGCACTTCAGAGCTCCCTCTTTTTGAATATTTATAAAAGCAGTATTAAAGAAGTAGTTATTGAAGTGCGGCATGGCTGTGAAATTTGAAAAAAGGGTTTTGATTTTGTGGTTTTGAAGGGAACATTTGTACATATGCAAACATTTGTGAATATTCTCTATGAACAACATTCTTACCTTTACAACAGTACTAATGAAAATATTTCCCATACAATCTAATAAGTCAAATTATCTCTTGTAAAAGTTGATATATAGCTTAGTGTGGTGCAACTCATAGACTAATAATCCTTTAAGAGGTCATGAAAACAGTTTTGAAGACCTTGGAATTCTCAAGAAATGTTATAACGAGAAAAAAAAATGGTCTAAAACTATTTGCCACAATTTCATTATTCATTTAGGTGTTTTGTTGCCTTTTGTTGCTGAAGAAACTAGAAACCAGTAGGCGGGTTGTAAGAAAATTTAATTTTTCTTTTGGAACTGCATATATGTACTTGTAATGTATAAGTGACGACAATTAACAGTGTAAAAAAATAATTTCTTTAATGCTATATGTTAGATAAAGACCTTTAACATTATGTAAAAATTTAAATTTTGTCACGTGATCAAGAACGCATTGTGACCTCATTTAGTGTGACCCAGAACATAACCTGCATCTCAGCAATCTGTTGTGTAGTTATATATAATTTTCATGCCAATAAGATGAACCTAATCTAAAGAAATACAATGGGGGGAATTTATTATGTTCCTGCTGCCAGACTGTCCTGTGTCTGTTTTTCATTGTCTCAATTCTCAATCACACTAAATGACATCATTAATTAGTGTGGCAGCAAACCCGATTAAAATGTTTATTGTACGTGCCAAATTAATAATTAATTAACAACCTTTAAGAGATTCCTAATATTTATGTGACTATATAAAGTTACAGATTATTTCTAGACATTAAAAAAAAAAATGATTGCAAGTCGCCTATTAAACCAACCCTTGCATCGAAAGGATCAGTCGACTATTGTATTTTTTTTAATGGAATTATTTTTGCCCAACCACAAGATAAATAAAAAATAAACATCTTTAAAATTATACCAAATTTTTGGATCATAAGCTAACTTAATGTGAAATGGTATAGCAAATAAGAGTTGAAATATTTTTACTGACATCCGGAACCTTGGTATTTCAGGTAAATTATTTAAATGAAGAACACATATTTTCACCAGAACAATGCTTAGCAATGTTACTTACCAAGTTAAAAGATGTAGCAGCTATTGCTTTACAAACTCCTATAAATGACTGTGTTATATCAGTACCCTCCTATTTCACCAACAATGAACGGAAAGCATTATTGGATTCTGCAACTATTGCAGGTAAGTTGAAAATATAATAAACATCAGAAAACCAGTTTATGAATGAAAGTAAGGTCTTTTAAAGTTTCCATTTTGAAAGAAAAACTGCAAATATTATTGCTGAGCAAATATTTATTTGATTTTCTTTTTAAATTCTCTCATAATACCTATGCCTATGTTCTTTCGTGGACAGAAATAATGTCGATTTCAAATTAGAAAATACTAGAAATTGTCAGACTCTTTGAATAATTAATGATAGAGTTCATAGTTTTCTAATGATTGGTCAAAAACAGGTTAACTGGACATTTGCCAGTTACTTATTTGCTATTTTATAGTTGAGCAGTTTATCATAATGTGGAGAAGTGTACAGTGAAGAAAGAGGGGATAATTTATGACCCATATCCACTTTAATTCATTTTAAAATGCGGTGTCATTTGAATCGAACACTTATTTTTGTACTGATGTTGCGTTCTATTTATTAAGGTACCCATTCTGCGATTTTTAGAAAAAAATTCCTTAAATTGCAGGTATCAAAAAATAATGAAGTTTGTTAGACTAAGTCATATGTACGGGTGTTACAGGTTTATCAAGAAAATATATTTTTTTAAAGTATTTCCCATATATAAAATTTTTCAAATGTTTTTTTTGCACTAAAGGCACATATTCTAAATGTATTTTTAGCTTTTTAGTTTTATCAGTTAAGTAGAAATTAGGGTTGACTAGTGCCTGTAAAAATAATAATCGAATAAAAAAAATTGGTGTGACCGACAAAATACAAAAATTATTATTCTTCCAAAGTTTGCTCATTTTACAAGAAATAGGTTAATTTTCCTCCTAAACCTGGTTAATAACTATATTTAATAAAAATGTTGGTGTCACTATAAAATAACTGAAATGGTGTGATATATACCCAATATTTATTATTGTAAAAAAATTCAATCATTTTTTATTCTGTTATAAAGGTATTATGCCAATTCAAATATATTCAAATAATTTTGAAAAAATAATTTATTTTTTTTAAAGAATATACACACACTAATAATAACGGCATTTGCAATTTTCTTTTTCTACACTAATAAAAAGTTAAAGGATGAACCTTAAGTTAGATTAGACTAGTTATTAGATTTTATAAACTTTCCAGGATAGGAAAATGTCTGGAAAATATTTCAGAGTAACATTCTTTTTCAAATACATTTTATTTAATAGATTATTTTTCGACAATTTATCTATTTCGAAAATTTTAATAAAATTAGTAGAATTAACATTACACGTTCTTAGATATAATCTAATATGCTTTCCATGAATACTTAAGGATCTAGGGCGTACCTTTAGACTAGACTTCAATTTTTTTTAGGTCTCAATGTTCTCAGGTTGTTTAACGAGACAACAGCCACAGCATTATCTTACGGCATTTATAAACAGGATCTCCCAGCACCAGAAGAAAAACCTCGCAATGTTGTTTTCGTCGACTGCGGTCATTCATCGCTGCAAGTATCCGCTTGTGCTTTTAACAAGGGTAAATTAAGGATGCTTTCTACTGCTTCTGATCCGAATTTAGGTGGAAGAGATTTCGATTTGCTCATTGCGGAGAATTTTTGCAAACAGTTCCAGACCAAGTATAATATCGATGCAAAATCGAATCCAAGGTAAGAATATATAAGAATAACCATTCCTTTATTGGTTATTAATTGAGAACTTTTCAGAGCATTTTTAAGGTTACTAGCTGAGGTAGAAAAGATTAAAAAGCAGATGTCGGCAAATTCAACTACCTTGCCATTAAATATAGAATGTTTCATGAATGATAAGGATGTGTCTGGTGATATGAAAAGGACGGACATGGAGGCGCTTGCTGGTCACTTGTTCCAGAGGGTCGAAGTTACTTTACGACAGTGCTTAGAAGAGTCAGGTAACTTACTATAATTTTCATAATAATCTGAACATTTTAAGACAAAAATAATAAATATGTATCGATTTTTTTAGTTTTTTTTTTACAGATTTTACATATGCGGTATGTTCCATAACTTCTGGGTCTTCGGATATATTGTAAATTCATATTATTTTAAATGGAACCATATATATTTTTTTATTTTTGAATTCCACGTTCAAATTAAATTTACACAAAAGATTTCTTTAAAGGAATAAACAGTAAAATATTTTTTTTATTTAACTGTTTCTTGATGCAATTAAGGGTCCATGAATGTATCAATGAAAAAGATTTTTGGTGTTTATGCTTTGAAAAACATTTTAAATAATATGTATAATACATCATTTGAAACAAAATTTATTTAAAAAAATAAAAGTTTGTATAATTGAAAAACTGCTGGGTTCTATATAAAAGGCAGAACGAGGGAGGACACAAAAATAATTCGTCTAAAATCACTGCGGGCGCCGCTCTTTTAGTTCGGAAGCCTGCCACTGGATGGGTGTTACGTAACCCCTCTGAGTCGGTTTGTTAAGCTGTGTGGCTTGAGACGGTTGTAGCGAGCTCTTGAGACAGTTTTTACATTTTTTAAATGGTTTATATTCGAAAACAGCATTGGGCATTGGAATTTTGTTTTCTGCTCGGTAAAAGTGCATCGGACGTGGTCGATATTTTGTCTACAGCTTGAAAAGAACATGCTTTAAAAAGAGCTCAAGTGTATGAGTGGTATTTGTGATTCAATTACGGTGACATATTGATCGAAGAACTTTATGACAAAATCATCTCCGGAGATGATGTATTTCTGAAAATAATTAAGATATCGACTTTCACTATTCAATTTTTCTTTATAATAGATTCCGTGATATCCAAACTACTTTTCTTTTATCATTTTGGGAAAGAAAACGAACTACCAGTATACTTCGAATTTATTATATTTTTAAATGAATAAGAACTTTACGATTTACGGGTACAGGGGACTGTAAGAACATTGTGTGCCCGTGGTCGATCAATGGTATAATATGCAAAATTGCAAGCTGCAATGAATCAGTTAAGAGTAAATGTGTTAATATGTTTTCCTTTCTAGGACTTAAATAATGGATTTTCTATAAAACGAGTAATCGTTACAATTTTCTTGGGTATTACTTGCGCCAGTGAATTTGTCTTGTCTGATTCGGAAATACTAACTGCTAATACAGATTCTTTGTCCTCGATATCTTTTACATTCATTTTTATTAATTTGTGACGCCTATGAGATCTGCAATTCTAATAATTAAAATAACATATAATGTACAGGGTGATTCAGGACTAATCTGAAAAAAAAAAATAGGTTGGAGGAGCCACTTGTTACACCCATCTAAAAACCTGACAAAGTACAGATTCATGATAAATTTTATTTTCTAAATTCAACATCACTACAGGAAATTTATGAAATAATGCCAATTTCTTTTGCAATTTTAACACTCGTTATTTTAAAAACGGCGCCCTTCAGAACTCCACTGTACTAGAATAGATTTTTTTGTCTTTGATGATATTCACATTTTTTTCTGATAAGTTTTCGATCACTCGCGGAAATTCGTATTAAATTACAGAATTTACAATAATCAACATGCAGAATGTGCCTTATTTTTTACTAATTGTATTTCGTTGAGGGCTTTGCAAAAAATTTGCAGATATCGCCCTTGAGAAAATATTTGACATCTTAGGTTTCTATTTAATTCCGTTTTTTTTTTAATGCAGCCAACTTTTTTACTTGATTTAAGTCAGTAATAAGCAACAAATTCATTTTCTGATTATTTGTAATATTTTTTCCATAAACCGTGTCACAAAGGGATTATATTGCTTCTAGTATGGTAGTATTTTTTTTTCTGACACCAAATTAAAAGTTATTCTTCCTGTTGCATTTTTGATCTTAGGAGGTACATACTGAGTGTCCGTAAATTTCATGACTATAAATAAATACGATCTACGTAAAAAAAGTTAAATAAAAACTTTTTGGTTTTTAAGTTACAGTCCTTCAAAGTTGTCAAAAATAAAACTAATTTAATTAATAACTTCATAACCCTTTTACGGATTGCGTTCAAATTTGGCACATTTATTTGAACTATTATTTCGTGTTATTTCTTAAAGTTTTAGTCAAATCGATGTACTGGGTAATAGTTTTCTCCGCTTGCCTCTTCCTTTTAGCGGTTAACATTTTTACAGTGGTTGTATTTTTTTTAAACGGGCAACAACATTGAAAAGGTCGTTTTATTTATTGTAACAATATTTTTTTAAAAATAATAAATAAAACGACTTTTACAGTGTTGCTATAATAGTCCAAATAAATGTGCCATATTTTAAAGCGATCGGTAAAAGGGTTATGAAGTTATTAATTAAATTAGTTTTACTTTTGACAACTTTGAAGGCTTGTAACTAAAAAACCAAAAATTTTTTAAATGACTTCCGTAGATCGTATTTATTTGTATTCAAGATATTGTAATTATTTTCTATCATTTTGTTCAATTAAAACTAAGTTTAACCCTTTCACTGCTCCAGACGTATATATTCGCTAAAAATTTATGGGGCTCAAACTGCTCCAGACGGATTAATTCGCATGAATAGTTAAATTGGATCAGGCTGCTCAAACCGTATTTATTCGCAACCATGCGCATTAGTGACTCGGTTATTGCAATTGGTAAGGCGAATTTTTGCGGGCGAGCTTATACCGATTGTGACAAATATTTTTATGGAAAGAGGTACTGGTAATAATACCAGGATTGTTCATATTTCTTCCATTTTCTATTTAGTACATATACTGTATTTTATTCAAAATAAAATCGTAAAATTTATCGTAAATCGTAATTTAACACAACATAATGTAAAACTATAAGTGGTCTAACTGTTCCAGACGTATATATTCGCACGCGATAAACTTTCGCGCACGTCACGGTAGCTACGTTCAGACGTATTGCGCAGTGAAAGGGTTAATATGTAAATTGCGAGAAATGGCATGCAAAATTTTTAATTTATCAGTTCAAATTTTATTGGTTACAATTTATGACACATTTTTTACATTTTGTTGTGTGGTAAACAATAAAGTGACAGTATTTTAATTATTGATTGTAAAAAAAATATTTACAACTTTATTGCGTATATTTATAATTAATACACATGTATATATTTTTAGGCTTATCCATAGACGATATATATTCCGTTGAAATAGTTGGTGGCTCTAGTAGAATGCCCGCCCTCAAACAGCTCATTGAAAAAGTATTCAAAAATGTTCCTAGTACCACTCTCAACCAAGATGAAGCGGTAAGCAGGGGATGTGCTTTGCAGTGCGCTATCCTGTCCCCGGCGGTTAGGGTTCGAGATTTCAGTGTGACTGACGTTCAGGTGCGTTTTAAGATTTACTGTTTTCGAAAGTGAACTCTAGTTATTTATCATTTGGTTGCGATGTAAAAAAGCGTTAATTTTAGAACTACCCGATTGTCGTGTCATGGGATGCAAGTCCCGGTGGTGAATCGGCAGGGGAGATTGAGGCTTTCCCAAAGAACCATGCCATCCCATTTTCCAAAATGTTGACGTTTTACAGGCAGGAACCGTTCTCCATTAGGGCAAAGTATTCTGGAAATATACCATACCCAGAACACAATATAGGTAAGTCTATTAGGTTTTAAACAGAAAAAAATAAGGAATTTATTTGTCAGTCAAGAATATTTGACTTCGAGCAGAAAATTGTAATGCTAAGACATTGTTTTCAAAACTTTTTTATTTGTAGTTTTCCAAAAAATTAAACTTAACTGTTTTTGGTTACCTCGAAACGTAAAATGCATTTTTTCTCAGTAATAGTTAAAGTGTCGACCATGGAAAAATAGAATTATCTCTTAAAACTCTGGGACAATTAAGGAAAATATTTCTCTTGTGCGATTGCGAATTAATTTTTCCGTAGTTGGAAATATATTTTTAAAATAAAATCTGTATATCTTTCTACAAGTCGCATATTTAACGTCATTGTCAATTTATCCCTATATCATATTTTGTTTTTTTTTTTTTTATATGCCTACACATTTTAACGTACAATAACTAAACGTTATCACGCAGTCTTGACCCATTAAATTCACATTATAACTATTTTGATTATTAAATAGATTGGCCACTAACATTCACACATGATTTCATTTTTAAAAACACACTTGATTAACTAAAATATGCAAATATCTTTTTTCACACATGCACGCATATGACACTAAAGGAAACGACTAAGTTGGAAACTGACAAATCGAGAAATAAAACTATGCGTCGCTTTCATTTTCTAAGTGCGTGCACTCAGGCTGATATGTTATTGGTACACTATGGGAAATGAACAGCACATTACAATTTCTATGCAGAGAATGCACAAAATTATTTTATCAGATTAACAACTTGTAAAAATTGTGTTTTGATTTATTTATGAGACTTACAGCCTACTTTTTTGGAACTCTGGTGTAGGTTCTACAAGATTTGAACTTCATTTGTTTTGTACTTACTATTTTACTGACCTTTAAATTGGGACACTCTATATATGATGTAGAAACTTATCAAATTTCCACCGATTTGGTGATCATTACAACAGAAACAAAAATGTTTTTAGGCACCTGGTTTATCAAGGACATCAGGCCAAATACCGAAGGGAAGCCCCAAAAGGTCAAAGTGAAGGTCAGGGTGAATCTACACGGGATCATGACGATATCCAGCGCATCGATGTACGAGGCCAAAGAGTCGGTGGAACCCGAAAGCCCCGAGGAGCAACAGCAGAAGGAACCACAAGTGAACCAGCAGAAATCGCCCGAACAGCAGCAGAACGAAACGGAAACACCCATGGATACTAATAACGGGGCTGCTCCTGAGGTAGGCTCCGGCTCCAGCTGGACGAAGAAAATATCTGCCTGGTTCAGCGGGGTACGCATATTGTCCCGGCAACGCTGGCCTGGCAACTTTGTTATTCGTTCCACTGTTTGTTCTCATTCCCCAAATCAGTTTGTTTTATATATTTTTCTTTTGCATTCGGTAGCAGATCCACTCCTTAACCATATAAGACGTCGTTCGGGATACATTTAATTTATTTAAAGGAAGTATTTGTTATTTATGTTCATTTTCAAGGTGCAGTAAGGAAAGAGTCGTAAGTTGCAAAAATATATTGAATGTATGAAAATGAAATGGCGTAATATCATGAATTAAGATATGTACTAGAAAGGTTCCAATTGGCGTTTGCCGATTTGACCTTTCGCCCGTGCCTGCTGCATTTGGACCACACTGCGTGCTGCACTTCCCGCCGTCCCATAATTACAAAATTGTTTAGTTTTTTAAACACCCTGTATGTAACAGCCGAGAATAACGTTTTTCAAAAAAAAAAATCGACCTCACGATTTGAAACGTGGACCTTCAGCTTCGCAGTTTTGAGCTGTGGTGGCCTGTCGGTGAGTAGTCTCCATAGGTGTAAACACAAAATTTAAAATGTTCAAATTGTTTTCTCATCACAATATCATCCCCGAAGGCCTCAACTGGTAAAATAATGATTCCTTTGGGTTTTATCTCTCTTCCCGCAGTGGAAATTTGCCGTTTTTGGTGCAGGATCGGTAGAAAAACGAAAATTTATCCAAGAAAACATGGAAAATCTGTTTTAATTGAAAAAAGGAGGAATCGTGGGACACTGCGCTGCAAGGCTCATGAAGAAATCCTTTAATATTTCAAAATGCCTATTTTTCAGGACCAGTGTGGAGGCGACAGTAACTTGTAGCATTTAATATACAGGGTGATTCATAAACGGTGGCCAAAAATGAAACCTCGTATTTTTTGGTGAATCTTAAGGGAAGTCTTTTGTATAAAGTTTTTATCTAGGACATTTCGTTAAAAAAATACAGGGTGTTGAACTTAAAAAATATTTTTAATTTTTTAAAATAATTTAAAAACTAGTAAGTGAAATAATTTGAATTGGGGCACATGTATTTATGTAAACATTGTCCAAAATCTGAGGCCTTTTTCTAAAATTTAGATGCTCCAGTGGCGGAGATACAGGGTATCGGTGCATATTTTTTAAAATAAAATAGTATGCCACTGCTCTATGGGAACAACCATGATATTTCGGATTCGTCTTTCAATTTTCTACAAATTACTACTCTTACGTTTTTCGAAAAAAGCCTGATTTTTGAGTAAAACTTAAAAAACTAACCGAAAACACTTAGATCGATATTCGAATAAAATGCGCTTTAAAATTACACAGTAGGCTGCGATAGCAATTTTGACATTCTAAGCTGTTAAAAGAAAGAATAAATAATGCTTTTCATCAGATTCAAGCAATAATAAATTTTGAACAAATTACATTTTCGTTAATAAAAAAATGTCGTGCCTGTGTTATATTTTTGAGCAATTTACTCGAATAAAATCATTAAAATGATGACTAATGTTATTCATTCTTTATTCAAATAAATAACCAAATGATTAGTGTTTGTCATGTCATTTAAGTAAAAGTTTTTTCAGTTTATTTTTCAAATTTTACTTGAAAATCAGGATTTTTTCAAAAAACATGAGAGTGGTAATATGTAAAAAATAGAACGACAAATCTGGGAATATTATGATTATTACTGTAAAGCAGTAGCATATTATTTTATTTAGAAAAATATGCCACCGATACCCTGTATCTTCGCCACTGGAGCATCTAAATTTTAGGAAAATACCTCAGACTCTGGATAATGTTTACATAAATACATGTGCCCCATTTCAAATGATTTCACTTACTAATTTTTAAATTATTTAACAAAATTAAAAATATTTTTTAAAGTTAACACCCTGTATCTTTTTAACAAAACGTCCTAAATAAAACCTATATATGAAAGATTCCCCTTAAAATTCACCAAAGAATACGAGGCTTAATTTTTGGTCACTGTTTGTGAATCACCCTGTATAAGAATTTCTCTAAAATTTACTATATGTATAAATTCATAAATAATTCATTTTTAAGATACAGGGTGATAAAGTTTTATTATATTTTTATTTCTTCAATAAATACACTACAAAAAAGTTGTCAGAGAAATGCACATTGAACAGCGTACAGCTACCAAGTTCTGTTTTAAAGCCAGTAAAACTGCCACGGAAATGTATCAAATGTTATAAACTGCGTATGGTGAGGAGTGTGTATCATGTCCCACTGTGTTCTGTGGTTTGAGAGGTCTCGTGATGACCGAGGCAGTGTCCACGACGACAAAAGAGAGTAGGGCATCCCCACACAACCAACGAAAACTTCAAAGCTGTGCCCTCTACGCTGAAATCTGATTGTTGATCAATCGTACAAGATCTGCCAACATTCTGACGGTTGATCTACGATCACACCAGCATAGAACGCATAGCTTTACTTTGTTCGCCATCTTGTGCGGGGATGCCCCATCCTCTCGCTGTCGTGCATGCTATCTGGAATCTGGAATTGTGGGGAGGGTAGCAAAGCTACAGCACTTAGGCCCCATTGGGCCCCTTGTACATCCTCCCATTAGAGAGATCAATCCACCTGAGCCGCCAACCAACCTATTACAGTGAAAAAGGTGGTGACGTTGCTCAGGGGGGGTCTCTCTAATGCATGCTATCTCGGCCATCACGAAACCTCTCGGACTACTGGAACAAAGTCAGATGTGATACCCACTCCCCACTATAAATCATGTATAACAGTTGATACTTTCCGTGGCTGTTTTATCGGCTTTAAAATTGAACTTTATTGCTGCATCCTGTTCAATGTGCATTTCCATGACTATGTAGTTCCGTTAACCGCACATACACTTTTCCACAATAAAATCAGTGTTATAACTTAACAGCTGGACTGTGTATATGACATTCTATGTCTTAACAAAGTGTTTACACGTTTGTATGAACTTTTTCCTTTTTTAACATTTGATTTAAAAATTACGCACTTAATTGCATTTATGTTTTATTTATACGATTTTTATTTTCGATGTTCGTGTATTTTTTGTAAGCTCTAAATTTTTAAGAGCGGGGTGTATCTGCACTTTTGAAAATGCACATTTTTATTTCTACCCATACTTAGTGCAATCAGTCTGTCACAGCCTAATGTAAAATTTACAAAAAATACCACCTGGAAACAAAAAATATGGTGATATAGGAAAAAAATTCTAAGAAAGATAGTGTTTTTTTCCTGTGGCGCATAAACGGTGAAGTTAACCTAAAAAATTCATAAAAGTCAAAGAAACGGTTTTTTGCTAATAAAAAAAACTTGAACTCCAATCGAAAAAAGTTAAAAGAGAAAGTTGTAGTTATTAAAAAACTTATTGATTCGTATTTTTAAATATTAATATATTTTTGAGATATATCGAAAAGCTGTCAAAAATTGACTTTTTTGTTTGCTGTATCTTTAGCAAATCAAGGTTTTGAAACTTGTGACTTGCTGTAAATGTAGCCCTTGGCAAGCAAAAAAGTGCCTTTTTTTAAATTACAAAATATTCAAAAATTTTCTAATTATATCAATTTTACGAAAAAAAGGTCATCTCGAGAATCGGTTCTTCTTGCTCGACGAATAGTCGTAGAGCAACGAATCAGGGGTCATTTTTTCCTTAAGAGTTGTACTTTCGTGGCAAAAAAGAGTGAACGATTTTATTCATTTCAAGTGTCCAAAAATGACTGAAAAAAGTAAAAAATTTTTGGTCGCATTTTTCTTGAATATCTTTCGATTTTCATTTCTCGATAATGTCTATTACAGTAATCAATTGCTGGCATTTTTACGCGATTTAAAAAAAAAACGTTGCTCTACGACCTTCTGGAACCGAGATAATTTTTTGTTTTCAAAAAATTCCACAAGCCGCTATTTAAGTGCTACAATGGGCATTCTTACAGACGTTGAGGTTGAAGACATATTTTCAATAAAAAAATTCTGTGGTTCATTTTAGCCACTTCTGCATTTTTAATTGTGCGTCAAACTGAACCATTCGAACGCGGCGTGAGCTAACTGTAGCGGGCGGCGGAGTGGGGGTAATGCTACTCGGCCACTCTGAAAACTGAATTAGGGCGTTCAAAAGCGCTCTTACTTTCAAAATCTTCATTATCTCAACAACTGGACCACTACAAAATTCTTTTGTACTTAATCTGGGGTAGCTCTACAGGATAAACTAAAATATGACATTTACGACGGCCTCAAATGCATAATTACCTTTGAAAAATGTAATTTTCCTTTAGTCTAAAAATCTCATCTCTTGTTAACATTTTAATAATTATATATAACAAATAATATCTCCCATCATAAAACTTTCACTTTCTTTCAGGTTTTATTACATTTTCATTATTTTTATACACTGAAATTATATGAGTTACGGTACTTGACATAAACAATTAATAAATAATTATTGAAATATTAACAAGAGGTGAGAGAATTTTAGACTAAAGGAAAATTACATTTTTCAAAGGTAATTATGCTTTTGAGGTCGTCGTAAACGTCATTTTTTGGTTTATCTCGTCGAGCTACACCAGATTAAGTACAAAAGGATTTTTGTATGTGGTCCAAAAGTAGAGATAATGAAGATTTTTTGAAAGTAAGAGCGCTTTTGAAAGCACGAATTCATATTTCGGAGCGGCCGAGTAGCGCCGCCCTCTACAGTTAACTCGCGCCATGCTGGAATGCTTCAGTTTGACGCACAATTAAAAATGTAGAAATAGCTAAAATGAATCACAGTATTTTTTTATTGAAAATATGTTTTCAACTTCAATCTCTGTAAGAATGGACGCTGTAGCACTTAAATAGCGGTCTGTGGAGAAAAATATTATCCCGGCTCCAGAAGGTCGTAGAGCAACGTGATCAAAAATTTTCTACATATTTCAGTCATTTTTGGACACGAAATGAATAAAATCGTTATCATTCTTTTTTGCCACGAAAGTACAACTCTCAAGGAAAAAAAATGAGCCCTGATTCGTTTCTCTACGACTATTCGTCGAACAAGAAGAGCCGATTTTTTCGAAAAATCAATACAACTCGAAAAATCTTTAATATTTTTTAATTTCATAAAATGGCAATTTTTTGCTTGCCAAGGGCTATATTTACAGCAAGTAACAAGTTTCAAAACCTTAATTTGCAAGAGATACAGGAAAAAAAGAAAAAATCGATTTTTGACGTTTTTTTCGGTATATCTCGAAAAATAATATAACAATCGATATAATTAAAAATACTAATCGATAGGTTTTTTTTAATAACTACAACTTCAAGAAAAACGCGACCAAAAATTTTTTACTTTTTTCAGTCATTTTTGGACACTTGAAATTAATAAAATTCTTGTAACTCTGTTACTATGAAAGTACAACTCTTGATGAAAAATGAGTCCAGATTCGCTTCTCTACGACTATTTGTCGAGCAAGAAGAGCCAATTTTTGAGAAGACTTTTTTAAAAAATCGATCTCAAAAAATTTTCAATATTTTTTAATTTAAGAAAAGGTACTTATTTTGCTTGCCGAGAGCTACATTTACAACAAGTAACAAGTTTCAAAACCTTGAGATACAACAAAACAGAAAAGTCGATTTTTGACGGTTTTTTTGATATATCTCGAAAAGTAATATAGCAATCGATATATTTAAAAATATGAATCGATAGGTTTTTTTAATAGCTACAGCTTTCTTATTTAACTTTTTTCGATTGAAGTTCAAGATTTTTTTTTATTAGCGAAAAACCTTTCTTCGACTTTTATGAATTTTTTAGGTTAACTTCCCCGTTTTAAGTTCCACAGTAAAAGAACACTATCTTAGAATTTTTTTTCCTATATCACCATATTTTTTGTTTCCAGGAGGAATTTTTTTGTACGCTCTTCTACTTATTGATTGGACTACCAACAGTCCATTAATTACTTACTGATTCTGTAGTTTGTAATCAGTTCATAGCGCTTAGCAAAAAGTAAGTTTATATGGTTAAGGTGGATGCACTTGCTTCAGTAAAGAATGGGCTGGGAAATTTTGTACAATTCAGTCTTCAGAAAAGTAAAAAGATGAATATACCACCAAAAATGAGCCTTAATTTTGAAATTGACTATCTCGCCGATGGCTAATCTGATTTTAATGATATATATTTTTTTTAATTGCAGATTTATTTCTCAGTAACAACACTAATATACACATTTTTATTGAAATTTCAGTATTTAGTGGTGGTGCAAAAGAAAATATTGTGATACCATTTGTACCATGCGCTAGTTGCTACATCAATATTTACTTGAATCAAACTTGTTTCATCTTTTTTGAACAATTTATTTTTCTTATTATTAATTAAGATACATAGGTAAATTAAAGCAAACCAGTTTATTACAAAAATTTAAAAACAAAACAAAAAATCGGTGACGACAAGAAACAAAATCGATAATAAAAATATTGCTGACAATTAGTTAATATTCCTAATAATGGTGCCATGTCGATTCTTACTTGAAACCAGACCTTAAATCGTATGGCCAAAATGTTTCATATACAGGGTGTAACTTTGAGTTGGGGTCGCATTATAGAAGTTTCTTTTGACCTTTAGAAACACGTATCAATATTATATTATTTCAAATTGCCTTGTGAAAACTTAATTTTTTTTACCTTTTTTAAGTAATTTTCCTACCCCACCACTGGACAAACTAATGTAACCTCAAAGAACGGTGCACTTTAGTCGAAGCGCATGCACAATTGGGAACTGGTCTCAATATTGTTGGTAAATCTCATTTAAAGGAAGGGTTTTTAAAAATCAAAGTACCACACCATTCGCCGCTAGGTAATGGTTTTTCGTGCTCGTTACTTCTGTTGAGTGGGCGTTCGCCACACAAACAGTGCTTAACAAGTAACCTAGCAAAAAACTCAAGCAATAATGAATAATGATGAAATACACAAAATTAAATAGTATGTTTACTCACATGATTTTTATAAAACTTCTCTGAATTTGTTTTCGTCCAATATTTGTGTGTTATCGTTCAAAGCTATCATAGTCTCTGTAACCTGCCACTTTTAACTTGTGGACCTCAGGATACACAGAGTTCGTTTGGAATTTAATAACAAATTGTTTTCCGTTTAAATATAACAATCGACACTGGACAAGAAATAAAATAGCCAACTCTACATTGCGGGTCTCAGTTCTTATAACACTAACTATACCACTTTCGTCGCTAATTAGACAACAGACCTATCTCCAGGATGATAACTGCAATCTATTGATGGCTTCCAGCGATGAAAAACGTTCAAATTCAGTTAAATGTACCAAATGCGGAGCAACAGATGACCCCTTTCGCTTTGTCACCTGCACTGTCTCCATCTCCCTCCACACTCACTGTAGGTTGCCAACAATCTTGTTACAAATACATGAATATCACAGTGGCGGTGCGGTGTACACAAGAATTAAAGTGCATTTAAAAAACTAATTATAACTTGAGTTGATTAAAAATAAAAGAAGAATTTAAGATTTGTATTCAGGGAACACATACCTACTATTACCCATGAAAAAATGAGTGAAGTTTTTAAATTTGTACAGTAAACTAGTGTGTCAACTATTTATCTCAATAATGGAGATATTGACATGACTCAAAATCGAGACTTTTCAGAGAAGATGGAATTCAATTCAAGTAGATGTTTACTTTAGCTGGCACACCCTATAAAATGTTTCAAATTTTGAGAGAAAAAAAAACTTACTCCCTTTTGCTACTCCCTTTTGTTACTAAAGTATAGACCTATAACGGGGGGACCGCTTAGCCGGGTGTCTTGGCCGGTAGATTTCGATCTATCAAGGTAAGGATCACGGACACAGGCTGGAATTTGGATGGGTGACCTAAGGCAGGCTCGGGGACGTGGCTGCCAGAGACCTGGGTCGCTCAACATTTTTCGCATGCGTGTGGTCCCCGATAAATGGTAAAGGGAACAGAGCAAAGAAAATCTCTAACTCAAGATAATGCTATCATACATAAACTGTATGAGGTTTTGACACCAAGCCACCAATGTTGTAAATAGGATGGTTTGAAGAAAAGTACTCGAGTAATGAAGGAGGGTGTACAAGGGGCCTAATAAGGCCTAAGTGCCACGGTGGAAAAACAATTCCACCAACCTCCGACATACATACATACATACATAGACCTATAATTTTGAAAAAAAAATCGATATCAGGTTATCCATTCTGAGAAAATTTTCTTTGAAATTAGTGCTGATTTTTGGTGGTGCGTATTAAACTAAAATATGTTTGTGCAAGATAAAAGTCAGTTTCATACTTTCTATGGAATTTTAAAATATGATATGATTTTTCTAAGGGTCTGTCATTAATGTTTTAATTTTTTATGGTTCTTATCTTACAGTTGAAGTAAAACCCATAAGTTTTATCGTTTTTGTGGTAAAATTTTCAAACTTCTTAAAATAAAGGCCTTAGAAAAAAATTGGTTACAAATATTTCACTGCTTCTTTGGTCCGTTTATTTTTTTTTCAAAGTATTTAGTGATTTCTGACTTACTTTTGGGAATGTTTTAAAAGTTTTTCTGTACCGTGGAATAGTTAAATTCAGGTGTAAGACAAATGGCATGTAAAAAATTTAGGAGTATTGTCGTCTAAATATAAGAATACTTATACGGGGTGTTCCACCTAAGAAGGATTCTTCTGTAACTCTGCAACTGTAAAATTTATAAAAAAATGGCTTTAATAAAAGTTGCCTAGAATCGTGGGACAATTTTACAGTTACAGACTTACAGAAGAATCCCTCTTAGGTGGAATACCCTGTATAAACATTTGCTGGCAAAACTTGTTTTTTTATATACAGGGTGTTAAAAGTAAGACGGTATATATTCTGTTAAAAAGTATCCGGAATTTGTCATTTAAGTTTCCACATACGGTAGGTTTAAATTTATTTTTTGATGCCTAGTTGGTAGCAGCATACTCTACCCGGACGTGAAGTTTGAGCGCTATCTGTCGAGTAGTTTGTTTACAGCTGTTAATTTAATTAGTCCATCTAAAGAGTGTTTCGCGATTTTTACTATGGATAATATTTTTGACACAAATTAACAATTAAAATTACTGTTTTACATTTAGATAAATTTAAAATTGAAATTATTTTAAAAACGGTGTCCGGAATAGTGTCTTTGTGCTTTCTATTTCAAAAACGACAAAAAAAAAATTCTGAGATAATTTTTGAGGAAAATGTAACTAATGTAACTACTAGTTTAAGACTAATTTTAATTTGTTCATATTGAATGCCATTTTATTCAAGTATTATGGTCACAAAATTCCATTCCAATTACTTATTTGTTCAGAAGATATGTTAGATATATTTTTTTTTGGAAATTTAACACTCTGTATCTCGAGAATGAGGGTTTTAAAGCTAATTGTTTGTATAAGAAAAAATTCTGAAATGAGTACTTGGAAAATACTATGTACTTCTTGTGTTGCACCATATGTAAGTGGATAAACACTTCACTATTATGAAAATCTTTGTGTTCAAAAGTAAGGTAGAAATCAGTTTTTTTTGTTGTAGTCACTGTCTATATAAATATAAATTTATATTTGTGTGTCAATTAAGAATTACCGTGAAAAATTTAATGTTCTAATTTATTTTTAGGAAGGCGATAAAGACAAAAAGAAGAAGCAATCCGTGAAAAGTGTCGAGCTCCCGATTGAGTCCATCACAAACGGCTTCTCACAAGTCGAACTGAATCAATTTACCGAACAAGAGTTTAAGATGATCGCTTCTGATAAACAGGAAAAAGAGAGGGCTGACGCCAGGAATGCTTTTGAAGAATACGTTTACGAGTTGCGTAGCAAAGTTTCCTCCGATGATGAACTGGCTCCCTACATTTTGGAAAATAACAGGGCCGAGTTGGTTAAACAACTCGATGACATGGAGAATTGGTTGTACGAGGACGGAGAGGACTGTCACAAGCAAGTGTACATAGACAAATTGGCTCAGCTGAAATCTATCGGGGAACCGGTTCAGACAAGGAAAGTGGAAACGGAGCTCAGACCCGTCGTTATCGAAGATTTTGCAAAGTCTTTACAGCTTTGTATGAAGGCATTGGAGTTGATTAGGTAAGAGATTGTTTTCCACATTTTTCGTTTCTATGTGACATGTTTTGATACTTGGCGAGAGAAAATTTCAGAAACTTCAGTATTTGCTTCTATTCGAGTTATAGCATTAGGTTTTTGTTGGTAATGTAGGTCCGATGTATCCTGTGCGTTTTTACCAAACATTTCGCTAAGAAGTCTGAAAGTTACCAATAACATCAAGTGTTTCATAAATGTTTGTGTAAGATACTGTTTCCTGGAATACAGCAAAGTTGAAAAGTTTACGTGTCGGAAAAACCCACAGTTGTGAAGGAAGTTATTTTTTGAAATGTTGCACAATTAAATGATAACTCAATCACTGATCTCTATGGACCCGTTCGAAAAATGTTATATTTTTTAGGATGAAACTGCAGGGTTGAGTTCCTATATCAGGCAGACTTTGTACATGCTCAGTATAGTCCAATCAATCTGTTACAGCCTTATGTTAAATTTAAAATAAATATCACCTGGAAACAAAAAATATGGTGATAGGAAAAAAAATTCTAAAAAAAGATGGTGCATTTTTTCTGTGGCGCATAGCCGGCGAAGTTAACCTAAAAAATTCATAAAAGTCGAAAAAACGGTTTTTCGCTAATAAAAAAAAATTTGAACTACAATCTAAAAAAGTTAAATGAGAAAGTTGTAGCTATTAAAAAACCTATCGGCTGGTATTTTTAAATATATCGATTGTTATTTTACTTTTCGGGATATATCGAAAAAATGGTCAAAAATCAATTTTTTTTGTTTTTCCTGTATCTCTTGCAAATTAAGGTTTTCAAACTTGTTACTTGCTGTAAATGTAGCCCTCGGCAAGCAAAAAAGTGCAATTTTTCTTAATTACAAAATATTAAAGACTTTTCGAGTTATATAGATTTTTCGAGTTACATAGATTTTTGGAAAAAAAGGTCGTCACGAAAATCGACTCATGCTCGACGAATAGTAGAGAAACGAATCGGGGCTCTTTTTCTTCCTTAAGAGTTGTACTTTCGTGGTAAAAAAGAGTGATAAAGATTTTATTCATTTCAAGTGTGCAAAAATGACTGAAAAAAGTAAAAATTTTTTTGTGTTTTTCTTGAATATCTTTTTCCATTTTCATTTCTCGATAATGTCTCCTACAGGAGTCAATTGCTGGCATTTTTATGCTAATTAAAAAAAAACGTTGCTCTGCGACCTTCTGGAGCCGAGATATATTTTTTTTTTCAAGAAATTCCACAGGCCGCTATTTATGTACTACATCATCTATTCTTACAGAGATTGAAGTTGATATTTTCAATAAAAAAATACTGTTGTTCATTTTAGCCACTTCTGCATTTTTAATTGATTTCGAGCGAGGCGCGAGCTAGCTGTAGCGGGTGGTGGAGTGGGGGTAACACTATGCGGCCGCTTCGAAAACTGAATTGGCGCATTCAAAAGCGCTCTTACTTTCAAAATTCTATCAGCTCTTGTTAACATTTTAATAATTAATAAGGATTTCTATACGTGAAGAAGTCGAGATAATGAAGATTTTGAAAGAAAGAGCACTTTTGAACACGCAAATTCAGTTTTCGGAGCAGCTGAGTAGCGTTACCCCCACTCCGCCGCCCACTACAGTTAGTTCGCACCGCGCTTGAATGCTTCGGTTTGACTCAATTAAAAATGGGGCAATGGCTAAAATGAACAGAATTTTTTTATTGAAAATATAAGTCTTCAACTTCAATCTCTGTAAGAATGGATGTAGAGCACTTAAATAGCAGCCTGTGGAATTTTTTGAAAAAAAAAGGTATCTCGGTTATAGAAGGTTGTAGAGCAGTTTTTTTTTAAATTTGCGTAAAAATGCCCGCAATCGATTCCTGTAATAGACATTATCGAGAAATGAAAATCGAAAAAAATTCAAGAAAAACGCGACCAAAAAATTTTTTTTTTCATTTCATTTTTGGACACTTGAAATGAATAAACTCTTTGTTACTATGAAAGTACAACTCTTAAGGAAAAAAATGAGTCCTGATTCGTTTCTCTACAACTATTCATTGAGCAAGAAGAACCGATTTTCGAGATGACCTTTTTTTTTGAAAAATCGATATAACTCGAAAAGTTTTTAATATTTTTTTATTTAAAAAAGGCACTTTTTTGCTTGTTGAGGGCTACATTTACAGTAAGTAACAAGTTTCAAAACCTTCATTTGCAAGAGATACAGAAAAACAAAAATTGACAATTTTTGACGGTTTTTTTGATATGTCTCGAAAATTAATATAACAATCGATATATTTAAAAATACGAATCGATAGGATTTTTTACTTACTTTCTCATTTAACTTTTTTTAATTGGAGTTCAAATTTTATTTTCATTAGCGAAAAACTATTTTTTTGACTTTTATGAATTTTCTAATCTAAGTTAACTTCGCCGTTTATGCACCACAGGAAAAATACACTATCTTAGAATTTTTTTCCTGTCACCATATTTTTTGTTTCCAGATGGTATTTTTTGTAAGCTCTTCTACCTATTGATTGGACTAGTAGCTGTTTGGCAGCATTTCCTTTACAAAATTTATACTTAATAATTAAAAGAGTCGAATGCAGTCCAGACATGAATAATTTAGTTGAACTTCTTGTATCTATAATGGTAGGCATTGTTGTAATAGTCTTATCTAACCTGAATTGTGGTTTTTGTGTAAATGTTTGGATCTCGATCTGGAAATCTATCAAAATTTTGTTCCAAATATTTGAATTGCATTTATAAACCAATAAAACATGTTAAATTGAGATGAAGTTGAAATTTATTATAAACAATGATTAGACAATTAAAAAAATACATACATTCTTAATTTTTCAAAAATGTATAACTCGGTATAGATTTGACTTGGTATTTCGGTTTGGATGAATCAATAAAAGTAAACCACTAGGAGTTCAGGATTTTTCCCTGGCTATCTGATGGTGACCTTGAATTTGACCTGGACCATGTCCCTCAAGGTCAGCAAGGTCACGATAATTTTTTTAAACAGGATCCTGTAATTTTGACCCCGGAAATGGAGAGAGTGGAAAATTTTACATTCGGATATGACCTTGAAATGGCCATGAAGCTCCAGATCAAGGTTTATATCAAAAAGTCCTAAAGTGGCCCAACAGTACCACTGTTGGTTATTAGTGGTCAATAGTGGTCACGAAAGGTAACATGTTCTTGGTTAGTCAATAATGGTCACCGATGGCAACATACGGCCACAGTCAGTTATTAAAGATCACTAAAGGCAACAGTTGGTCACTGTTAGTCATTAGTGGTCACCAAAGGTAAAAGGTGATCATTGAAGATCAACAGTGGTCACCCTGGGTAATAGACGGTCTTGGGTGGACAATAGTAGTCATCGAGGGTAACAGAATAACCAACTTGACCTTGAAATGACCGGAGGCTAAGGAATTTGAGGTCAGGGCAGAGGTCAAATCCAAGGTCACCGGTTTAGTGTGCATTAGGAACCCTGGAACTACTGTGGAGAACATTTTTCATGATGTTCATGCTCATTTCAAAGTCATATTCGAACGTAAAATTTTCCACTCCATTTTTGGTGTCAAAATTATTTAAAAAAATTCTCGTGACCTTGATATGACCTTGAAGGTCATGGTCCAGGTCAAATTCAAGGTCACCGTCAGATAACCAAGGTAAAATCCTAAACCCCAAGTGCTTTACTTTTACCCTACCGCTTGAATATTTCCAGCTATCCTGCCATTCCAGTATTTTTGGACCACCCTGTATAAGATTCATTTACAATTTACAGTAAAGACCAATATCTCACACATAAAGTCACCTACCGTATTATCAATGAGGTGAAAGTGAAAATGTAATAAAATGAACTGGTGGCATTTTGCGCCATTCCCCTTTCACCATAATTAACATTGGCCTGTATATTTTTGCTCATTTAGTGCTTTATTGTCATATCACAGGTTGATTGATTGAGGTAGTCCACATGCATAGTCTGTAGTTTCAGGTTCATATTTTTGATAGGACGATGAAAGTTGTTGTTTATTTATTATGTTTATATTGCGTAGTGTTTTTTTTTTTTCATTCAAAAATCTTACACTTACATTGTACCTATAACTAATTTATTTGAGTTGCACACAAATTTTAAACTGTATTTTGCTAAATTTTCATATATTTTGAGGGTTGCTTGCGGTATGCAGCAAAATAAAACTGTCTCAACAGTAAAAATAAAAGTATTTTTATTGAAAACAAAGTTAGTGAAAACGAAGTTTTGTCGGGACGAGCGTTTACTGGAGAGTCTTGGTATGGAGTCGCTCACATGTATATGTATTTGGTCCCGGCGCCAATCTGCCGTGGACTTTTCTTGGAACCATGGTGCGTCCCGCGTTTGTTCTTTGTCCTTGCAACTATTAGGCAGGTTCGGGGTCAGGCTGGCGCTCTTGACGTAATACTTAAAATGGATCACTTGCGGACATGTGTACCCACAAATTTTATGTATTAAATTTAATTTATTAACTTTTGTATTAATAATTTTGCTTGCACCCATTACGTAAATAAATAAGTAAATATTTTTTGTAGATCAAAGGATGCAAAATACGCTCACCTCTCCGACGACGATATCTCTAAGGTAGATCAAGCATTTAAATCTTCTTACCAGTGGTTGGAACAGGCTAGGGTAAAATCTGCGACCGCCCCCAAACACCTTCCGCCACCAGTCACAGTCGCCCAGATCAGACAGGAGAAATCGAACTTTGAGAACACGGTTAATTCCGTACTGAACAAACCTCCACCAAAAGCACCGTCTCCCCCGAAGGAGGACAAGAATGCCGGCGATCAACAAAATTCCCAGGAGCAAAACGGCAACCAGCCACAACCGAGTAGCGAAAAACCAGAAGAAAACATGGAGTGGTCCCCAACAAATTAGGTTAATTAGGTGTCTTGTAAATTAATATATTTAATATAAGGGGCTATGCCTTCTTTAAACTAAATTTTAAAATAAAGCTTACACATTATGTAAAATTTTGCTATCTTGCAGATATAAATTGCGGAAGTGATGTTTTACTGCAGAGTATACAGCGTGATCGGTTAAGGCTGGGGCGTGGCGGTATCTTGGACACCCATCGTGCCGCGATTTTCAGGTAAAAGATCTTTTAACAAGTATGGCTGAAATAAGTTGGTATAAAATATTTTTAAGTTCATTGGTTCATTAATATTTTCAAATATTTTGGTTCCATGCAGGTCGGAAATATGTCTTTTATAATCTCCATTCAGTCCATAACAAATTTGGTTTGAACAATTTTTTTTCTAATTGCCGCAGCAACAAATTTCTCAAAACTTGGGTTTGCCTTATCTGAATTTTAATGGTCTCGAATCTAATTCATTTTTATTGTAAAAAAAATAAATTAATTTGTATGCTGAATGATATGGGTGTTATTTAAAACAAATACTTGGGCAAATTTCTTAAAAATTAAAGTGAATCCCTTTGATTGCTTGAAATAGGATTAAGCAAATATAATTGTAAAAACGAGGAGTCCATATCTTTTTCGATTTTGAAATTGATGCAATAATATTGCGGGAGTGTCAGGATATCTGGTGTAAATACAGTATTTACGAATAAATATTATAATTTTTTTGTAATACTGAATTGATAGACCTTTTTATTAGGACTTTTAAAAGAAAAAAAAAATGTAATTCGCTTAGAGCAATTATTTTTTTCCTCGTTTCTTTTGGTGAAAAAAATTAATAAACCTTAGCTGTTGTTTTCATGAAACTGTATATTTTTGACCATTCAAAAATCTCACTGAAAGACCCAAAAAATCAAACACCACTATATCACGTCACTTAGTTAACTTTTCAAAAATCAATCTATTTTTGTTTTCAAAACCATGACATTTTTTTTTTGAACGTTCAAAAACGTAAGTAATTTTAGGATAAAATATCGAGGACATCATATCAGAAGGGCGTACGAACCAAATCTGAAATTTTACAGGCATACGCCTTTCTGATATTATAGTTTTGCAAAATTGGTTCATACGCCTAAGTAAAATGCGTTAGATTAGAGTGTTGATGTTTATGAATATATACGCCCTTCTGATATATTAAGCGAATTGATTAAATGAGGTCATACGCCCTAAAAACCCAAAACCGACTATAGTGGCTCTTACGCTCTTCTGATATGATATCAACTATGGAAGCAGACAATAAGCAAACAAAATTTAAATGAAAACGGTATGATTTTTAAAACAACTAAATGAAGTGTATTATCGATGCGTTATTTTTTGTTTATTTTTTAGACTTGGGTAACCAAAAATTGTTTCATAAAAAACTGGCTGATTCCTTTGGTCCGAGGGTTTATTTGACAAATTTTTTCACATATTTTTCTTTAAAAGTGTAATGCAAAAATGCTATCAGAGCCTCACTAGACTTTTTTCATTTTAAAAGAATCGTGCTTACCGCGGACCCTTCGACACGCCACTTTTTATAATCATTCTAAAACGGAAGCAGATATGGATCCCCTGTTTTCATCTTTATTTTTCTTAATTAAGAGGGCTCTATAGCAAATAGGCAACCAACAATACATATTTATAGATTTTATTCTACATTTTGTCTAGATAGCACAAATAACAGACTTTCCTCCATTCTAACATAGATTTTCTATAAATTGAAGTTAGTTTGAATCTCAAATTACTTTTTGTTGTAAAGAAATATGTAATTTTCCGATTTTGAACAAGTAAATTACAAATTTCTTCACACCAAAAAGTAATTTGAGTTTCAAACTAAGTCCATTTTATAGAAAATCTGTGTTAAAATGGGGGAAGGTCTATTATTTGTGCATTAATCCATATTTAGACATACTGTGTAATAAAATCAATAAAAATGTATTGTTGGTTGCCTACTTGCTATAGAGTCCTCTAAAATTAAAAAGTTGCAGGGAGTGCAGGAACGCGTTTTTATGAGAAAATTCACCCAGTGTGATATTGTTTCGGAAAACGCCTCTTAACGTTTAATGTAGAAATTTAAATTTGAGCATTTAAAAAAAAATGTGCTCCATGCTGTGATTAGAAAAAAAATTACCAACATAAATGTGCCCCCTAGCCACGAGGTTAGCAACTAAAATATATTTTATACCAATTTATTTCTGTCATAGATTTTTTTACCTAAAAGTCGCAATTTGAAACGTGTCCGAAATACAGCGGCTCCGTGGTATTAAACGATTGCGCTGTGTACGTTTATTAGGTTTGAAGATGCAGTTACTTTCTTAATTTTTCTTTTAGTTCAATTTATCCTAATTCCGGTGATAAATTTTAAAAGTTTAAAGTTCCGTAACTTATAATTATTAATGATTTAACACGGCAACTCTGACCTTTACTGTCTCTCGATGGACGTCTCGGATGAATTTTTCTAGGTTAGCATATTTAAATTTAATTTATTATTAACGTAGAGAATAATTTCAGTTGGATCTAAAGGCAGTAAGGGGCACTCCATAGCACGAGATAAATCGTAGTATTTTATTTTATGTTAGACTTTTGTAACACGCCTGAGTTGTTTTGAAATGGAACTCCGTCTTTGATTGTCAGAAAATTTTATTCACGGTTTGAAATAATTATTGCAAGTAGAAATTTGTTGTATGGTTTGTAGTGAAATCTCGTAGTTTTTCAATCTCGATGTTTCTATCTTTATGTTTAAGACAATGCCCTAGTTTAACTGTAATAATTGTTAGAAAATCAGTATGTGTATAAGTAGAATTTTCTGGGAAATTGAAGATTTTAAGTTAGCGTACACTTTACGACGTACATCTTATTTCAGCTTCATTCCATCAAAATTTTTTTAAATGATCACATTTTGTTGTACATTTTTTTTTAACATGTTTAATAAAACATACAGTTACTTTTCGTGTTTTATTCTTAATTTTATTAAGACCATTTTTGCTGCAATAAAAATTTATCTTGAAAAAGATTTAAGTACATACGAGAGGTCATTTTTAATAATAATTGTTTTCGTCAGTCGTCTGGCAGTAACTTTGAAATACCAGGCATATCCACAAAGTACGAGTACTGATACTCTTGATGTTCTGTGGTTTTTGTTTTCGACAAAGTTGGCAATACTGCATTCAACAGGGTTCGTAGCGGCCGGGAAAACCGGGAATACCGGGAAAAGTCAGGGAATTCGTTATTCTTCATAAAAAACAGGGAATAGTCAGGGAATTTTAAAAATATTCATGAAAGTCAGGGAATTTGATGTTTGCAACTGGAAATTTTGTGAAAGCCGGCCCTGGGTTCTTGAAAGAAAAAACTATTTGTGGTTTTGAAGCCTTTATAAGAGGTTCTTAGGGTATAAAAAATATTATGGAGTCCAGTCGAGAAAAAATTTAATGCATAAACACCAATTAGTATGTAAAAATGAACTACAAGTGACCTGGATTTTATTTTTATAAGTCAGGGAAAACCTGGAAAAGTCAGGGAATTCTTCATTACTTTTGAACTATGAACCCTGTTCAAGCCCAAGGTGTTGGGAGCAGAACACATGCTCATTTGTCTGTCCGTTGAGAACTGTTGTTGTAGTGGCGTGTTGAAGTGAGTGTCGCTATTTCGTATTTTCTGTTTCCTTTCTGCAAAGGGAAAGGTGACGTTTCAAACTTTTAACAAAATTAAAACTGTTACGGGGATGGCGTGATGAATCGTTCTAATGTGTACAAGTGGTGTCTCGTGAGTATAAAACTGACGAACGAATGTTCATGATGAATAAAGGAGTGGGCATCCCTTAATCGTGACTGATGGGATGGTGAATAAGACTGAAGAAATGCTTCGTGGCGACTGTCGATTGACTTTGGACGAAATGAACGCAGTGTTTTCATGAATCTCCAGGTCTTTTCTGCATGAAATCATTACCGAAACACTTGGTTTGTCGAGCACTTCGAACTGGAAGGTGAACAATTCCTTGACTGTATTGTGATTGCGATGAAACATGGATGGCCCACTACACCTCTGAGACGAAAAGACAATCGATGCAGTGGTGACATCCATTTTCACCATCAGCGAAAAAATTCAAAAACCGTTGTTTCGGCCCAAACAATCAATGCAACTGTCTTTTGGAACCATAAAGGCATTCTCATAGACTTTTTGCCTCAGGGGGAAACAATTAATTCTGCGCAGTACTGCAAAACCCTGAAAAACCCTGAAGGGAGTATGTTTTTTGCATGACAATCCACATCCTCACACAGGCAACGCCACAAAGCAATCTGGATACATTCGGTTGGAACATGATCAACCACCCTGCTCACAGCCCTGACCTGGCACCTTTTGTCTTTCACCCTTTCTCTTTGAACGTGTTTATGGATGGAAAAAGGTTTTCTACCGAGTGTCGCGAAACAATGAGCCTGAGAGGCGATGGGAGATTTTTTTGAAGATTAGAAATCTGCTTACAAAGTGCATTCAAGTTAAAGGAAACTATGTGGAAAAACAGTGTTTGATGTATCTTTTTAAATATATACATTTTTCATATACAAGGTGTTTTATAATGATGTGCAAATATTTTAAGGAGGTGTTTAGAAAGTAATTTTAGGGGGGGTACTTCCAGTATATATTTTTTTATTTGAGCTCCCCTGAGAAAATATTCAAATCTCAAAATGGCCAAAAAATTAGCTTTTATTTTTTTTTCACAAAAACGGTTAAACTCAGAAATTTGAATTTTGGTACACATTAACAACTAGTTGAATGGTCTTTTTTTCTGGTTTATGTCTTTGAATGAAAGAAATTAGCACCCCTTGGTTTTATGTTTCTCACAACTTTTTTCTATGTTAGCCAACTCCAACAAGAAAAATAGCTTTTAACACTACATTTCATTTACAAACTTTTTTTACTCTTCTCATTTTTTCGTATACTTAATGGTTTATGAGCAAAAAATAAATTATTTTTCCTTGACGATTAGGTACACAAAATTATTAGTATAATAGTTAGTCTTTTCGATATTAGTTGAAGAACCAAGAGGATGACAGTATGTACCAGGTTGGGTCACTGACGCAGCAACTCGGCATTGAAATATTTGACTTGTTCCCATATTTATTTAGCCATACCCATATACAGGTCTTGTCGAACTAAACGTGGAGGTGGTACAAATATATACGCCCAGTTGAAGAATGTGAGCGCGGGCAATCAAAATACAATAGTTGCATTGGGCCACTGGGCAATAAATCTCAGCCGTTGACAAGTGGTCGACAAATTTCCCAGCAGTGCAGTGCAGCAATGCGGAATTTGGTGTGATTCCGGTAGATAGTTTTAGGCACCTTCTATTAATTATTGATATTACAATTGCGAAAGGGGGAAATAATATTACAACATGGCATTTTGGAGACTTTTTGAAACGGAACGAAACGAAATTACAATCAATTTAATAAAATTGTTTGAGGACATAAATAATTAAAATATGTTGTTGGCCAAATGAACATATAGGGTCGGAAAGTCCCCATGGTTCATCGGCCGTTACGTGGGAGCGATAAAGAAAGTCATAGAAATCCGTGCGATAGAGGAAGATGGCTATAATGAAGGCGTCTAATAGTCACCGCCCATTTCGCCCTTCCACAAATAAGATCCACTTCTTATTTGTGGAAGGGCGAAATGGGCAGTGAGTATTAGACGCCTTCATTATAGCCTAGTGGCGGCTCGCCAGGTGACGCATGTGACGCACCGCTTCACCTAGTATTTCCGTTTGGTTGTGCAATTTAAAATTATTTTTAATTTTATATACATTTTATAATTTAGGTATAATTCTATATTGAAAATGTATTGTGTTTGTTTAATATGCAGAAATCAATAGAATAATTGCGCGGTGAACGCCTTCTAAAAAAACGTTGTCTTCGTTGAGCGGGAACATCAACCTTGTACCATACAACGTGTAGTATACGCAAGTGACGCGGATCGAAATCAGTTTGTATTCCGCTTCGTTTCGTAGCCTTGTTTACGGCAGTTGTCATGGCAACGAGGCGTGGGGGAACGAGTGACGCAGAAATTGAAGCAGCATTGTTTGTTTATATTTGTTTTGTATAGTAATTGTATGTACATATTTTGTTGGAAATGCCTGATGAAAAATTGAGGACAAAAAGAATTTTTTAAATTGCGAGAGACCTATGCCTTATTCTCTCGATATGGAAAAAAGGAGAAGTCAATGTGTACGTTCGGAAGTTTCGGAATGAATGGTATTCAGAGTATAAGTGGTTATGAGGAAGTGTTTATTTAAAAAAACTTTTCTGTATTCCCTGTTTAATTGTGAGTGTAAAGTCGGGCGTGTGGAATAAGAAGGGATTTAACAATTTTGGGAACATCACACGAGGCTGTCGTAACCACGAAGCTGCTTTGAAACATACATATAAGGTGTGTGTTAACGTTCGCAGATGTCCACAAGCCGAACTAATATTTCTATTTTTTATAAAATCTAAATGAAAATCCTTCTCGCGAACGTCAGTTTCTCGGTAATATTGCAAATGCAACTAAAAATTTCCAGATTCATTTAAAGCCGTTTGACGTTGAAAATTTTTCTTTTTAGTCAATCAATGAATATGCTTCACCTATTCTCAATGTCACGAGCCGTCACTGTGTTCCTC